TTTTAAGCATTTAGAGTCTAGTTTTAGTGAACAAACCTGTGATATAGATGTTTCTTTCTTGGAATTGAAGGTGATAGGTGTGGATAGCATGCAATTAAAGACTTTATATTATAAATTATGCTCCTGGGAAATTAATGCCTTACCTAAAATAATTATTAATTTCTGTGGTTTAACAAAGTAAGAAAAAATTGAAGTAAAAATTGATGTCATAGAAGGCTCAAAAATAATTAATCTCTGTGGAATGTGATCAGAAAATTGGTTTTAAAACCACCATAACTTGGTGTTCTATTGCAGAGTAGGGTGAACATATTAAGAATAATGCACATATAATTTAAATCGCGAGAAGAAACAGTTTTCAACACACAAAAAAAATGAAAAAATAAACATGGCAAATGTTTGAGGTGATAGTTATACAGATCACCCTGATTTTTATCATCACATCATATACGTGTATACAAACAGCACACTGTGCTCTATAAGTACAACTATCATGGCCAATTAAAAAGAAAAAAAATATTCTAAATTTGGAAACAATACTAAAACTTCTTTTTTTCCAGATTTCAAGAGTGATTGGAATTCTGTATCCTAATATCTGATATGTGAGGCACAGATTGTATTGCCATTTGTAATTACCATGAATATTTATGATGAACTTTCCCTTTCTCGTAACACTACAAAATCCCTTAACTTCCAGGAGGGCAGACTGTGTTGAGCTACCCTGGAGTTTCTTCAAATACAATAATGGTAATAGATCTTCTGGTCAGATAGCTATAATCACAGGACTCACCTATTGGGCATGCATTGTGTGTTATAATCTATCTAAATCTTATTTAAAGCTTAGCTCATTTAATCTTCCTAATAACCAGCCAAAAAACAATTTTGTTTTTATGCATTTCTTCAAAGGAGATAATGAAAGCACAATCAGTTGTAATTTGAACAAACTCAAAGTATTCTACTGGAGAAGGCATATAGACTGTAAGGAGAGAAGCACATATTCAGAATCAGTGTTAAGACTTTCTTATTTAACATAATTGTGCCAAAGGCAGTAGGGAGGGCTGTGGGCAGGACAAAGAAAGTGCCTGGAGACAGCATGGGAGACACATGGTTTATTGGAAAAACTTTCAAGAGGTCACTGACTACTCCAAAAAAGAATTCAGTGGCAACAGGCAGAAAACACCTCCATCCCTCTTGGTACTTTGGCAGGCACAGCCTCCATTCCCTGGTGGAGTTTTGTCCAATGGCAGCTACCTGGATGAGTGGCATACATCCTTTCTCTCCAAAACCACTCAAACAGGGTTTTTGTAAGTTAGGCTGCAGACGAAGTGACATCATCAGCATTCCTTCGCTTAGTTTTCTGACCAGCATCCAAGGAGTGTCAAGAACCAGCACGATTTTGATCAGTTCCTCAAACTCTAGGGCAGATGAGAGGATTAGAAATTATATATATGTGATGAAACTGAGGCCAAAGTGCGGAGGCAGATTTGTCTCAAATATCAGAGAGTAACAAAGGAAAAGTCTGCAATAGAAATGCAACTTTAATTGGTAGACTTGTATGTTTTGTATGTTCTTTAAATAAATATCATTTCTTAGTCATTTAAAAATTTAAAGCACACTCCTCTTCCTAGTTAAGGCTGATTTTATTCTCACTTAAGCATTAAATTTTATGAACTATCTTCCATTTCAAAGCTGGTTTTACTTAAATCGCAAAACCTTCATATACTTGATATCAACCCTGATATCAAAAACTGTAGCCTCTCTGCAGTTATTAAAACTGAAATTCACAGTGTTCCCTTCATGCTCTTTTAGATTTTAATACTCTTCACACCTTACTTTGAATCTTGTTGAGATTTTGGTTTCCTAAGGGACCCTGATTAATTGAACATAGGTGTCAATATATGGGCAATTTTGAGCCAATTCTCAATTCTTGGTGGCTTCCAAAGCGTTCTGTATTCATCTGTTTTTCTCAATATGAATACTGTTCAACCACCAGTGTTGAATCACCTATCTATTCAATAAAAATATAACTAAAGAGAATTTACTATATGCCAGAGACGGTAAAATAGATAAATATTTAAATAGCCCCAGAAACATATGATACACACCAAAAATACATTCCAGAATTTGGTGAGTAAATATACATTTTCAAAATTTAATTTTAATGAAATACTGTGAGGTTAGTAAAGTTTGATAACATTAGGATGGAGGAAATTGAGGACTGAAGAAGTTAAATTCTGTCAAACTAAAAAAATCAAGGTCAAAGTACCTGTCCAGGCTTTCATGAACTGGAGCCTATTGTTTTCAAACAATTATTATACATAAAGCTTCATTTAAGTAAGTGAATATAATTGAGAAAATGAAATCATAATGCAGCCTTAAAGTGTCAGTGGTGTACGTCAATCAGGAATGATGAAGAAATATGATTTAGATGCATAAAGAAAAGTGCAAAAAAGAGTATTTCATCAAGACCAAAGATGCATCCAAGGAAAGTGAACAGAGCTTAGAAATACACTTGTATCATTAATCATTTAATCTACAGTGAATTGAAGTGTTAGCAAGAAAATAAGAAGAAAACATAAAGTTAAAAAAAGAGACAATTCAGAAATTCTGTCACCTTTAATAATGTTTTTTTAAAAATGGTTACAAGTATATAAGAGGAGGAGAAAGAACTACAGACATAAGGGGACTAATTATCTACTAGGGATCAGTCTAAGCTGATGTTCTGAGGTTCTATAACACAATGTTCCTAAATACTTATGAAATTATTATCATATTACACATGAAATGAGATATTATCCAAGGTTCAAACACTGGACATTAGGACAACTGCAACACAAAAAGGAAAAAGGAATATATAGTAAATAATATTATGTATGTGTATATATAGCAACAAAAGAAAATAATAGAAGTATAGGTTTACATATATATTTTTCATTCTGTATACACACTGTCAATTGTGTGATCTTCCTTACAAAACTACTATTTTTAAAAGATAGTTTTGTGGGTCAGGGATACTAATATAAAGTACGAGTCTTATGTTCTTCTTTAACTTACAAAGGCTTTACACCAAAACAAGTATGTATGTCTGAATCGTGCCATTAACCATACTCATTTAAACTTTACTGATTATTTTTAAGTTAAAAACAGAAAAGAATAGTCTGAAAGTTTTGAAACATGTTTAATCCCACAGCTGGGAATTGAAGAGACACAAATATAGATAAATCAAAAGACTCACTTGTGACTCCTTGGCTTGTTCCTGTGTTCTCTCCATTTCAATGTTACAGTCCACTGATCATGCCCTCCACCTGCCTCTACTTTGCAACCTAAGTCCTGGTAAATACACATTCTCTAGGAATGCATTTTAGAGCTGACAACTTTTCTGAGAGCTTCTTTCACATCCTTATTTCTCAGGCTATAGATGAGGGGGTTCAGCATGGGGATCACCACAGTGTAGAACACCGTGGCCACTTTGTCAGCATCTCCACCATTACCTGAAGTAGGTCTACAGTAAATGGAAAGGATTGTTCCATGGAAGACAACAATGGCTGTGAGGTGGGAGGCACAGGTGGAAAAAGCTTTGCGCCTCCCCTCTGCAGAGCGCATCTTCAGGATGGTGATGAGAATGAACAGGTAGGAGGTGAGGATGATCACAATTGTCATAGATTCATTGAAAGTAGCCATGATGAACAGCAGCACCTTGTTCACAGTGACATCAGAGCAAGCATGACTTAGGAGAGGGGGTAAATCACAGAAGAAGTGATTAATCACATTTGACCTATAGAATGGGATCTCAAGGGCTGAGCACAAGTGAATCAGAGCACACACTGATGCTAAGAGATAACAGCCAGAAACCAGCTCTGCACAGAGCTTCTGGGACATGATGACCATGTACAGCAGAGGATTGAAGATGGCCACAAAGAGATCATAGGCCATCACAGCCAGGAGGAAGACCTCTGTAACCACACAAGTGCAAAACAAATAGAATTGTACCATGCATGCTGTGAAGGAGATGGCTTTGTCCTTGTTTAAGATGTTGGCCAGCACCTTTGGCACAATGACTGAGGAGTAGCCAAAGTCCACAAGAGACAAATTGCTGTGGAAAAAGTACACGGGAGTGTGCAGTTGAGAGCTGACCTGGATCAGGACAACCATGCCCAGGTTGGCTAAAACTGTTACTGCATAGATCAGAAGGAACACCAGGAAGAGAAGGACTTTCATCTCAGGGATATCTGACAATCCCAGCAGAATGAACTCTGTCACAGTGGTGCAGTTTTCCTCAGCCATGTGCCTACTATCTATGTGGCTGGGGAGGAAAAAAAAACCCTAAATGTTATACTTTATTATGCAATTCAAATATTATTTTGGCTGGTAAAATATGAATTAAAAAATAAACAAATAACAACAGACTCAATAGGATAGTTTAATTTTACCTATCAAGAAATTAGAAATCTTTCACATGAAATTTGACAAAAATTATAGCATTGCATAATAGAGATATATGAAGCCTATAGTTTACTTCAGAGATCATATGAAATAATTAATATTTACAAAAACTTGTATACATGCTTTGATTAGCTTTTCAAAATCGCAAGCTTGGCATAGAATCATGAGGGGGTGATGCCAAAATATTATTTGATTGGACTCATTTCTCTATAAATTTCAAAACCATTTTTCCTAGCTTACTTTGTGATCAATACTCTAAATATTATGATCAAAGGAAATAAATTTTAAAATCTAGGGTAACATTTTCTGAGTTTTCCACTCTGACAACTAACAAGATAGGCGGCCTCTTTGTTATTGTTAACCTACAGGTGTTTATGTTTTATTGATATATTTTAGAGATTCAGGGAATAAGTTCTCTTGAGAATAGCCTTCCTCTATTTATGAGTTTTCTTCTTTCAAGAGAGCTATTTGATAATTTATTTCTCTGATTCTATCTCAAGAACTTGTCAAATCTGTGTATAGGATGTGATTGAGAATAAAGACCATGAACATAGCAGCATTATTTATGATACAGAAATTTCAGAAATGAAGTATCAGATAGAGGGAAAATGTCCAAAATTATAATACATATATGAGAGAAAATACATTTCTCTTTAAATGATCACATCAAATAATTTTAATGACATGATAACTGCCATGATAAAATGAGAGTAATAAACAGTAAAACTGAGGGACAGAGATATTATGTATACATAGTCATATGGTTTTCTTTCTCTAAATGATTAGGAAAAGTGAGATGTCTTTCTCTGAGTTCAAAGTAATGCACAGTTTAAAAAATGTTTTCCTGTATTTAAAAAAAAAATAGGGGGTTGTTTGCTCACAGACCACTGCTTACTAACCAGGAATGAATGTGACCACTTTGTGACACTTTATGACATTTGTCAGTGACAGTTTTGGTTTTCCCAATGGTCAGTGGAAAAAGAAAAAAAAAAAAAAAATATATATATATATATATATAGTTGCTAAACACTGCGTAATGCACATGGCCATCCCTCTCCATCATCCCGATGACCAACACCACCAAACACCCCCAGGATGATACTGTCAGTCATTTCACACTGTTGAGAAATCCTGCAAGGGACACTTCAAAGTGCTTTGGGCAGAGCTAACATAATTCCTATCTTTTCCACTTCAGAGATGATTCACACATCTATGTGCCTCAATGGAAATCCTCATGGGTTTCTCATGGCCACTCTCAGCATCGTGGTTACTGTCAGGAGACTCTCCATGCAAGTTCAACCAGGTTGCAGAGATGGAGTTCTTGTGAGAGAGATGTAAAGGAAGGATGGTAAAAGGCATTCATCTGCATTATTTATGTTGATTTTCCTCTCACACTAGCCTTTCTTATGAGACATGTGGTTTTGCAGATTTGTTCCCATTTCCCATTGAGAATGTCGTTTACTATAGAAGCAGCAGTATATTTTCTTAAAGGAATGCTTAAAATTTGGCATTTCTCAAAGCATTCTCTAAGAAAAGGATAATATATACACAGATTGTTTTTAAAAAATTGTAATACTATTTCCCTCCTTTATACATCATTTTCTCTCACATATGATTACAATAGATTCCAAACATAGGAAAATATATCAAGTTTTCAGGTTCCAGAAAATATTATTAATAACCACAGCCCCCCCCAAATAATGAGCTTGTAATCCAACCTACCTGTATAGTAGACATTCAACTGTTTTCTCTTTTTCTGAAAATGTTATGATGGAAAATGTCATAGAATTTATGTCTGTGGATGTTCCTCTGGGATCTGTGTTCCCTAAAATTCTCAAAACAATCACTGATATCTGTAAGATATCAACAAAATATCAAGAAAACTCTTGGGATTCAAACAATTTTTTCCACTATGAGATACAAAATGGGGAAAACAAATAATGTGGTACACATTATGATTCTGATTTTTTGTATGTTATTAAAAGCTAACACCATTCATTGAGAATTTTGATGAATTTGAAACACTCTATGTACATCCAAGCTTTGCCTCTTTGAGTCCTCACATTGCTATTATGAAATATATGAATGCGTTTGTCTGCCTTATATGTAACAGCTCCTTCCTGCAAGGTAATGGGTCTGAAGATACATTATTCTCCAAAGAAAGAGTGGGGATAATGAACCTCCATTAGTGAGAATAATAGCCATTGCTCACATTTCCTGAGCACTTTCTATGTGCAAGGTACTTTTCTAAATCTAACTATTAAAATATTTCTTCTTTATTTTTATAAAAATAAAAGTATCAATGATTTTATGTCCCTTACAAATGAAGTGACTGAAGCACAGACAGGTGTAATTTGCCCAAAGTCACAGAGAATCCTTAGTGGAGATAGGCCCCATGGTACATTTCAGTTTGTACTACCACTTGACTATGGGGAGAGCATAGTTTCAAGGACTCTGGGAGGACAGAGTCCATGTGCAATGCCAGAGGCCATTGTACTGGGGTGCTTCACCATTCTTCCTGTCTTCTCCATTCCTGAATATAGAACTTTAATACGAATTCAAGGTGTTCAAACCACAGTCTATGTGCCCCTAGGTAGAACAAACATTTAAAATTTTCATGGAAGTAGTTTCTTATAAGCCATTTATAAATTCTAAAAAACATACAAACAAACAAACAAACAAAAAAACCTCTTCCAAGTTTGATCCGAAGATTTTCTTAATTTAAGGAATCTTGGGTTTCCTTGAATTTGCAGCTAGCATACCTACATTCCTTTTACCCTATACTTTAATGGGATTTTTCTCTTATCCATTCACATTTTCTCTGTGAATTACTCTAATGAGAAAAAAATTCCAAAATCTAAGACACATTATCAAGAATAAAGGCAAGAACAAATATTGTCGAGGATGTGGGGAAAAAGGGAAGCTCATTCATTGCTGGTAGGACTGCAAATTGGTGCAACACTATGGATAGCAGTATGAAGATTCCTCAGAAAACTCTTGGAATAGAACCACCATTTGACCCTTCTATCTTACTCCTAGGTTTATACCTAAAGGACTTAAAATCATCATACTACAGTGATGCAGCCATGTCAATGTTTATAGCAGCTCAATTCACAATAGCTAAACTATGAAAGCAACCTAAGTGTCCTTCAATAGATGAATGGATAAAGAAAATGTGGTACATATATTCAATGTAATATTAATCAGCTTTAAAGAAGAATGAAATTATGGCATTTGCTGGTAAATAGATGGAGCTGGAGAATATCATGCTAAGCAATATAAGCCAATTCCCCTAAACTGAAGACTGAATGTTTTCTATGATGTGCAGATGTGAATTCACATTAAGTGGGGCACTAGGGAAGAATAGAGTTGCCTTAGATTAGGTAGAGGGGAGGGAAGGGAAGGGAGAAGAGGATATATGGGGATAGTAGAAGGAAACAGAATGAAACTGACATTATTACCTTTTATCTGCATGATCAATGTGATTCTATAACATGTACAATCAGAAAAATGAGCAATTATACCTTATCTCTGTATGATATATCAAAGAAAATAAATGCATTCTACTGACATGTATAACTAATTAAAATGAATTAAGAACACTTTTGAAAAAGGACAACTTGAAATATTCATGACGTCTGAAGTCTTCTTCAGCAAGACAATCCAACTATTATTTTCCCCTGGGGTATACAAATGTATTTTCATGGAAAAGGGCATGTATTCTAGTCCATGGAGGAATATTTTGAAATCAGATATAAAGTAGGCTGATGGAAATATTTGTTGAATACTAATTCAGGGTGCTCCTAGTAAACCCTAAAACTTTTGTCACAAGATGAATGCTACTGAAGAGAACATCCCATGATACCAAAGCAAAAAGAGTATTTGCAATGAACATGATTGACTATAATGAATGTCATCCAACAAATGCCACACAGCAAACTATTTGCATTTCAATATCTCATACTTAAAGACCTGTGAGGCATTTGTAAAAGTTGGTTGGTTTTTATTTCTGGAAGAAAAACGTAGGGTAAACACTGCAACATATTTTTACAGGAATCAACTTCTTTAACAAGATTCTTAAAGTTCACAATAGAAAACCAATAAGTGGAATGGAATTAAACTAAAATTTTTCTGCATAGCAAGGAAAACAAGTAAAAGCATACACAGTGACACTCTAGAATGGAAGAAAATTTTTGCCACCTGTTCCTCAATAATTAATATCTAGAATAGATAAAGAACTAAAAAAAAACTTAACACTAAAACACCAAATAGTTCAATTAATAAATGAACAAAAGAACTACACACATACTTTTCAAAAGAGAAAATGCAGGTGGCATACAAATACATGAAAAAACAAAACAAAATTTCTAGCAAACAGGAATTTATTTCTCCTGTCTGACTTTTCTCCCTCCCCACTGCCTTCTATTCTTCCCAGTCTCTGGTAACAGTTATTCTATTCTCAATTTCTCTAAGATCAACTTTTTAAATTCCACACAGAAGTGGGATTACGTGATAATTGTGTTTCTCTGTCCTGCTTTTCCACTTCATCTAATATTGCCCAGGTCTATCTGAATTTTTGCAAATGAAGTTTTTCATAATATATATTTAAACCACATAATATCATACAATATGCTATAATATCATATAGATAAAATAGTATATATGCAAGGTTAAATGTGGATGTTAAATCTTATAAACTGTTTTATTACATTATTTTGAATAACAAAGTTACATGTAGAAGAATGATAGATATCTTTAATTTGCATATGGTAAGACCTGAGAAAATCTTTGCAGTAAACTTTCCTGAGTTTGAAAAAGTGATTAACTCTAGTAACTTCAAA